GTCTGGATTGTTGTAAATAACCCAAGGTACTAGGCTTCATTTTTTGATAAATAAATATTTATCAGGCTAAGGTTTTTCTTTAAGAAACTCATCAGTTCAGGAAGTTTGCACTATGAATTTATCCAGGTTATTACAAACTGTTTTATAAAACCTCTGTGACCATGTCAAAGAGAAAAAGGGGAAGAGAACCTCTAAAGAGAAGCTAGGGTTTAATGCATCATTTCCTCTCCTTCCACCAAAATGTTCAAAGACCACTGCATGCCTAAGCTCTACTGTGTTTAAGACATGAGAGATGATAGTCTAGTAATCCCATTCATAAAAAGGCATTTAGTCTAGAGAAGAAAAACTATAGCCCTAACATTAAGCAGACTATACTTGCAGAGTTGAATTGAATGACAGAGGTTTGCTTCTCTGTTTATGTAGCAGGGGCTAAACCACAGCCCCTATGCAACCTGCCTGCTTTAAGGTGATCTTGAGTAGAAACAGCCACATTCTTTGTTGAAGGTGTGTTTAGGAGTTCTCATGTATCTTATTTTTGTAACTCTTCTGCATTGTGCTGTCAATAGGTCAATTGGATCTCTAGCTTCCATGTCTTAGCAGCAATCAAACCTATGACTCTCTTAATATTTTACCTCTAATACCAAAATGCTCCAGAACAAATGAGCCGATGGGATGCTTTATCCTACGGAAAATTGCAGTAGTATCTTAACATATGAACACATGCAGGGCAATACTTTGGGAGTAATCTTTTCTTAGTATCTCAAAATGACCATAAATCTTGCCAAGATCTCAGCCTTGACTGAAGAGCCTCTGAAGATAAGCCTGTATATATAAAAGAAGGTTAGTTCTCTTTTTAGTCCCTCTTCTAAACAAAACCCCTTAAAGTGCTAGGAAATCTATTAGTCACTTTAATACAGTAGATGTGTCTGGTAAATCCATTTATATTAAAAATGTATTGAAATGGAAGCAGACTGTGAACTGGACGCCATGATCCTTGCCTTGAGGTGTCTCCTTAGCGGAAGCCATGCAGAGCTAGGTCATGTATTTTGCTACTGCTGTACTAGAAACAGTAGGTACAACCTTATCCTGAAGAACCAGCTTTACCTCTAGACACATCTCAGTCTTCTGCTGCGTTGGTCAAAAGATCTTCATTTACAAGTGATTCAAATACTGGAATCATTCTCGCATTTCTCTCAGCCAGCTGCAGGAGGGAACACCACAGTTGGTTACACTCAGGAATTGGTGCCCCTTTCTTCCCCCCTTGCTGATCACTGATGGGCCTGGCAGTGTACTGAAGCAGTGGAGATCATTTCAGTTTTAAAAGCTTTTGATGTCTTAAATTGTTTGCAGTGTATACACCACACTGCAGGCACCCAGCACTGCCTTGTAAAGCTTTGCCTCTTCTGCAGCTCCTACTTACAGAAATGATGTCAAGTACTAGCTTCTGTGGAAAAGGATTTCACTTTGGGCATCTTTTCTGCTCTTTCAGCAGTACTTGCTTGTCTTTCTTCCCCTGGTGTCTGGTGTAGTCTACTACAAAGCTGGTATTTTTGCAACAGTTACTATAGCATAGAATGCATTTTAGTAGGGACCTTGACCAGGTACTATGTCAGTAATTCTATTTATGCTTCTTACAGCATTCTCCTGCTTAAGTGTTGTGGAAACAAAGTAGGACCAGAACCCATTCACAGAAGAGTGAAAGGAGGGAGAAGTAAGTTGGGGGTTTTCCCCATCCTACAAACTGGGCATGCTATGACGAAAGGAACAGAAGTAAGAAAAGGCAAACTGACCTTATATTACATCCCAAAATAAAAATGACTAGTGAATAAATTACAAGGTGTGACTTACCTCCACAGCCCTCTAGATGAGAAGCCACCTTCTCTGCAATATACTATAACCAGTCCCGTAACTTTCTTTTCTTCTCATCCGATGCATTTGCAGCCAATTGGTATCTAAAAGCACCACCAATGAAAAGTAAAGCAGGCATCCTTTCCTCAGCTGTACAAATGATATTAATACTGGTTGTGGTAACTGCAATTTGATCTGCTCATAAGAAATAACTGCAGCAGTAAGCCTGTAAGCACAGCTTTATTTTAACACTAACTTAACACTGTCCAAACACTTCTTGAATACTGGATCTCTAATTACTTCAGATATAATTAGTCTGCTTTTAAGCATTTCATATATAACCACAGAAAACTGGTTTGCTCAATAAGGTAATTACTGAGACCCATCAAGTGTTTAGTTAAATACACAGCAGATACTTTTTCAGGACAGGTAGCTCACATTTCTGTATTCTGATAACCTGCAGTGGTATTTGTGCACTGGTGACACATTTACAAAGTTTATACAATACAATAAATCCACCACTTGCACAGATGTAGCTACATGAACCAGTATTTTCTTTGAAAAACGTTGAGAATGATGGAGAACATAGTATGCCAAGCAGTAGGGGATTTGTGGGGCAGGGAATAAATTTTAGTACTCTTCTTCCTAATGCTGTTCTCCAAGAAGTTCTCCTCCACTGGATCTTGTGTGATGAGACTGTTGCTCTCATTCCTGATGCAAGCACAGAAGGTGGTGTGTACAGATGGCACCAGCTCCGATCTCCATCAGGGAAGGCTGTTGAGACTCAAGACACCAGAAGGCAGTGTACTCACTTCTTTTGATTTCATTCCTTGGGATCCTTCACTGCTTCATCAAGACTCCGACTACTCTCCAGTATGTTCCTGTTTCTCCAATGTTTGCATCTCAGGTGCACCTTTTCCTTCTTCATCTTCCTAGAGAAAAAATGTTGCCCTGTGTGAACAAGGCATTTATTACACTAGGAGAGTGAGCCTCCTACTGGAGACATAATGGATTTTTATTTGTAAGGAAAAATTAAGAGGAAGTCTTAAACCAAAACTTCACAAAGACACAAGAAACTTGTGTTTCTCAAGCGTCAGCAGTAACTGCTCACAACAATTTATGAAGGATGTAAACTACTGTACAGTTCAGAAGTAGTATTTAACAGGGCAAAACAAACACTTGAATCAAGATCCATGTCGATTCAACAGGACATCAGAACCACAGCTGTCTTTGTGCCTGGACATGATAAAAGATGCTGCACTAATGTTTAGAGATTCTTTTTCATCCGAAAAAACACGTTATTTGTCCCCAATTGCAAAAGATTTCCGAAATTCTAGAAACTGGTGATGGAAAAAATACAAAACAATACCTGCCAAGCATGATTACATGTTCCATGCTCACTTTATCAAGCAAGGAGGAGGAACTTATCCCAAATCATGCTAAAAACAACAGAGAGAAAAATAAAGTCCAGTCTTCTGTCTTGTCTAAGCCATATTGCTGCTACATTCAAGCACTAAAACTGCTTGCAGTTTTCTCCCTTCGTATCTATATTCACTTAGCCTGTATTTAAAACCATGGCATTTATAAGAAAGAAAAGAAATAAAACCCCTACAAGTTTACTTTCACCTTTTACCTCTTTTTGGTTTTTTAATGGTCTAAGAGCTATAAAGTCTGCAGTATTTATAATTCATGCAAATTACAAGGACATTTATCTGTATGGAGCCTGACAGGGCAGGCACCAGTGTCTCACCTTAATATTAAGTTTCATCTTCAGTTTCTCCTCAACAGACCTGGGCATCAGCAAAAGTGTGTTGTCTCCCAAGTCACAGAGGATCTGAAAGGGAAATTCCAGGAGTTCATTTGGGATCCTCTTTCCATAAGACCTTGTCATAAAGCAGTGTACCATCTTTCAACTTCTTAGTACCAGTGAAAAACCCCAAACTAACAGGCCCACTGACTTCTGTGTGACACTGTAGCTGCTATTTCTCCAGAAATGGAAGATGAAAACTGAAATTTACTTTGAGCTTTGACACAGCACATCCACTGGTATTCGTATTTGCAGAACACACACATTTGTGTTTAGTATGTAAGTGCATAGGAACAGTCGGCCTCAAGTCACAAATCAGCTTCCAATGAAAGGCAAAGAGGAAGTTGATCTCATTAGCTGTTCCATAATGACCTGTTACAATGATAAATGTACCTTCTTCACAAGCTTTGGGATGAGAGGAGATGCAGTAAGCGTGACTGCGTGGTGAGAACATGTCACAGACTACCCAACAGGGTAAGAAAGTGGATGGATGTTTCACCCTTTTCAAGTAACTCCAAGAAGCTTCTGTACCAGACACCTCACGAGGCCCCCTTCAAACCACATTATCCTCATCTGACATCCTAATAATGGGTATCATATACAGATTTGGAGAGGGTTGCCAAATCAATCTCAGAGTAATTCGTTTGTGCCACAATTCAAATCTGGAAAAATACAACTTTTGCTTTTGTAAATTGAAGAAATTACAAGAGGAAAAGGATGCTCATACCATCCCTGCTTCTGCAGGAATAGGATTTTATAGGCTTAAGCATGCTCATCTTTGCACTGTGGGCAAAGCTGTTTGCTTTACAGTTAGTTATAGTCAGTAGCAATAGCGATTGATTCAAGGTAAACAATTCATACTGCAGCTTCTCTCTGCAGTCCCCAAATTAGCCCTTTCTGGGCCAAGGCAAGTGCCTGTACAGCCCAACCCCAAGCTGTGTGTGCTTGGTCAGCGACCTCTCTGGAGTCCTTATGCTGACACAGGCTGGTGCCAGAGGCAGCAGCACCCCGGCCAGGGAGAGAGAACTTTCTGGTCCTACCCCTGTGTTTCTTTGCATGCATCAAACAGTTTCTCAGGCAAGGCAAGCGTTTGCCTGGACTGGGAAGTGGCTACATAGGTAGTTACTGTACCCAGAGGACTAAAACAAGGTCTACACCTACAAAAGGGAATTAAACTTTACAGGGTTTTTTTCTTCCTCCTGAAGAAAACTTCTGACACCAAAGCAGCGGTAAACGGCACCAGCCTTGGAAGCAGCAACCGCCGACACGATGGCCCTTGCAGCGGTCACGCACTCGGGTACCGACCACTCCCCGCTAGGGCACCCACGGCCGCCGCGGGCGGAGCCGACCCCACGGGGGCGGGGCTAGAGAAGCGGAAGCCCTTCCGGCCGCCCGGAGGCACCCGGCGCGGTTTGGCAGCATGGCTGACGAAGAGGAGGACGCGCAGGTGAGTGATGGGAAAGGGATGTGTCCTTCCTCTTCCTGCTGGACGGGACCCTTTGGGTCCTATCCCAGATGTGGGGAGAGGAGAGGGGAGGGAAGGGGTCCCCGCCGCCCCGAGCGCTGACGGCCGTCTCTCCTCCGCTATGCTCGTCTAGTTTGAAGAAGACGCGGAAGAAGCTGGAGGCGGCTTGGATGGTGGGCAAGGCAAGAGGAAGAGGCTGTTCTCCAAAGAATGTGAGTCGAGCCCGGCCAGAAAGCCCAGCGCCGCGCTGACGGATCTATTGCTGCGGAACTTACTGCAGCATTGGTTTAAGGACGATGCCCTTCCCCCAAACACAGCTGAAACTCTGAGGAGGTAGCTGTAGAGCTACAAACTTGTTTTCCTTAACAAAAGCGCGACTTCCATTCTGTGCCCTGGCTGTAAAGTGCAGAAAGCTGTTGTGTAGGCCCCCTAAAAAACATTGCTAATTCATTCTCTGAACCGAAGTGCACCAGCGGTCAGTCACACAGTCAGTACCTGGTAGGGCTAAATCCATATTTAAAAGTTGTCATCGTCCATGCTTATGTATATACAGAACTGGAGTTTTGTTGCCTTCTATCTGCTTATTTCCTGTACGTTTGTTCAAGAATCATCTGGCCCAACAGACAAGTGCCATCCTGGTGCACATAACGTACGTGTGGGCTCTAACTAGATGCATGCAGCTGAAATGAAGGAAAGAAGCCTCATGCTGCGTGTTTCTTTCTGCAGTAAGATGCATGATGTATGGATTTGGGGATGACCAGAACCCTTACACAGAGTCAGTGGACATTCTTGAAGACCTGGTAATAGAGTTTATCACAGAAATGGTAAGTCAGCTCTAGACAGCATTGTCAAAACATCCTCAACAAAGGGGGTTAATACCTCTGACTCAAATATTGCATTATCGCAGGCCCAAAACTCTGATGCTGGTAGGAAAAAGCTAAACTTAAACCTTGCTCTGCCAAGATTAAAGCAAAATCCATGCATCTTGCTCTATGTGGATTTAAAATGGTGTCAAGTCCTTAAGCTCAGTATTGGGAGGAAGGGGCGGAAATACACAACTGACTTTGGGGTTTGCTGTGGCATCACTGTATATGCATCTGACAAAAGAGAAGGCTCAGCTTTGAAAGTCTGTTGACTTTTTGTGTTCTTCCAATGCCTTTACATGGATGGGAATGTAGCTCTGCACTACAAAAGAAATGCAGGTGGGGCTTGAAGTCGTCACTGTCCCAGATAATTAGATACTGTTTGAAAGTTCGTTTAAAAAACAAAACCACACTGGTTATTCCAACAGTTTGCAGACCCCTTTTCTTTGCAAGGTTGGTCTTGCTTTCCCCACATCAAAATGCCCTAAACTGTCCTGTGGTACGTTACCTCACATTGCTTCATGTTCTTCCTGCTGCTGTTCACCTTCAAGCACTCTGCAGGCTGAGAGTCCTACATATAATCTGACTTCAGTTTTGATGCTGTTACTATTACATCTATATAGTGGTATGTGCTGGGTATAAATGACAGGCAGACAGGGACAGCAGAGCAACAGTAAGTCCGTGGTGTACTGGGAAGTTCTCTTGTGACTGTGATGGTGCCCACATCCTGCAGTTGCTTACTTTTTGATTATAAAGTGGCAAGAAATAAAGTGGAATTGAGAGCTTAAAAAAGAATTAAGGAGCAAAGGAACTGTGTTGACTTTCCTTTTTTCCTCTAACAGACACACAAGGCCATGTCAATTGGGCGGCAGGGTCGTGTACAGGTGGAGGACATTGTCTTTCTGATACGCAAGGACCCCCGGAAGTTTGCCAGAGTTAAAGACCTCCTAACTATGAATGAAGAACTGAAACGAGCCAGAAAGGCCTTTGATGAAGCAAACTATGGATCTTGATTCTGTGCACAAGCTGTACTGAGGCATTACTTGGGCACTTGCTGCCCAAAAGGAACATCATGCATGTTGTTTGGAGGAACTATTCAGGGTGGAGGTCACTGCTGGAATGTCTGCCCTCGCTCCTAGCCTTTTCTGAGAAGTATCCAAGCAGCTGGATGTTGTCTATGCGGTATACTTGGGTATTTTTTATTGGTCTATGAATTGAGAAAAGAGCTCTAGCAGAAAGTCCAAAGTAGAACTGTGTTGAATCAGATATCTAAAGGGCTAATTATGCATGATTCTCTACAACTGTTTCAGTTACTGCTGGCTATTCTTGTGACAGGAAACCTAAACAATGGATCTCAGTTACTGAAACAACTTGCCTTCAAGCCCAGTCGGCTATAGGAATTCTGCTCTTTGCTCTGTACCTGCTCTTTTAATAAAACATTTTAATTTGTCCCCACTTCTCGTAACTGAATTGATCAGTTCACACAAGGTCTGTAATACAGGGGCTTTTATCACTTCCTTGGCTGGGAAGGTTATTTTTAATTCTGTCCCAGTTGGCATAGCTCTTTTGTTTTCTACCAGTATTAAGCCTAGAAACTAGCAAGTAGCTCTGGAATAGGTTGACTTCACTTACAGACTTTCCTTACCCCTGTTAAGACAGGTGTTCTACAACAAAGCAGATTTCTAGTCTGCATTTGGGAACGATTTTTTCTTAGTATATCCTGGTGATCCTGATCTTAGGACCTAGTTACAAGAGCCTGGCACAAAGCATCAACTCCATTGCTTGTTCTAACATTATGTCATAATACATGTCAGAGTAGCTGTGCCTTACATTGCCAAGCAGGCAGAAATGGCACTTAGAAGATTTCAGGAACACATGCACTAGTCAGGAGTTTACTGCTGCAGGCCATAGCACGTGGCTGTGCAGGGGAAACCCTGTTTCTGCAGCAGCTTAGGGGCAGGTTCAGTTAATACCTTGTTTCAGGAAAAGGACAATATTGAACAACAATAACACTGCAAATCAGGGCTGTTCCCTAAACAAGCAGCACAGAAGGAAGGGTGTAAGATGCTTCGTTGGAAAAGTGACAAGTCTTTTGTCCTAAGCAGCAGGAAGTGATCAGCCACAAACTTCTGCCATGGGTAGTAATTAATTCTGCTGTGGGTTTCACAGCAGCACTTAACATGTGGTTGAACAACAGAGAAAGAATACTGAGTAAGGATAACAAACTCTCTGTTCCAGGACAAGTGAAAGGATGAAGATTATTCAGTTTTTTTGGTACACCCTTCCAAAAAACAACAAAAAAAAACCAAACAGCTGTTTTACAAAACTCTAATAAACCAGTTGCCACTTCCTTAGCAGAATTCAGAGTGTGAGTTACCAAGACACCATTAGGATTCTGATTGTTTTACTTAAAAATATACATAATCGGAATGACTTGACCCTTTTCCTCCTTGCATATCCACCATCAGACACCTATTGCTGCAAAAATAGAATCAATATCCATGTTCTCAGTACCTTCTTTCCACACAGGGCCAGGGCTTCCTTCTAGCAGCAGCCGCTTAGGGGTCTCTGCTGTGCTTAGTTTGACACGGCCTCTGTCAGCACTGGAACATCCTGCCTGACTCTGAGGCCCATCCTGGTAAACTGGGAGAATGGGTGATGCACTGTGCTCACAGACTCCAGCAAGCTCAGGAGGTTTTTGCCAAACAGTCTTCAGAGTTCTCTTCAAACATGTGGATGATTTGAACCTCCTTTGACAGAACCGTGCCTGGAGGTGCTGCTTTGGCCAGCATGCCTTCTGTGACCCGTACAGGAGGTATTTACGGACAGATGTTTTGACACAGCACAGTTTTTTCTTCAAGCTTAAGGGGAGGAAGGCAAACAAATCATAACTTTATCAGCTGCTCAAATATTATTTCATTTGGGGTTTGGAGAGATTTGGTTTATTAGCCTTCTCTACCATTTTCCCAAGAAAATATGATAGCACCTTGTACTCTTGTACAATAGTAGCCAGGGTGAATGCTCCTTGTCTTCATCTTCCATGAAGAAAGACGACACCCCCTGTATCATATCGTTATCATTAAACATGCACATGTTTAATGGTAACAATTTAAGTTGCATTTTCATCCTCCCTCTTAAGTATTGGTGCACCTGGTAGCCTTTAAATCCTTTCACAAAAGACTGAAGCTAAACACAATGTTCGTCTGAGCTTGCAGTAACCTGAATGAGTGATCCCATTAGAATTTACAAAGAATGGGTTAGACCACTGTATTTCCCTACACTGTAGCAAAATACATAATATTAAAATGTAAGGTGTCAGACACAGAAGCTCCACACCCATGCAAAATTACCTGCATCCTTGAGCCTCCACATGGTGCAGCCGGGTGCTTTTCAACAACTTGTTACGCAGAAAATAAGCTTCTGGCTTGAATTTGTTGCCCTTGCACCACAGAATAACTTTTCTGAGTGCCTCTGACAGTTCACCAAACGATGTAGCTCTTTGGACCAACTGTACAAGAAACCCAGCATGCTCCAGTTTTGCTATACGAGAGGAAAGTGATGCCGACTTTGCTTTGAAAGGTGTTGATGCAATGCTTATACGCTGAAATAGAGAGTAACAGAAATAGTTAAGTCTTCTAAAAACATGACATGCCTGACCCTCTCTGCTGGAGAGAAGCCGAGCACCAAGGTTTTTGTGAGAACATTCCTTACTTCCTAAGGAGAAAGTGGAAGAGCAGTCTTGTTTCGTGGAATACAAGAAGAGGCAGATAACAAGAATCTGTATTGCTGTCTACTACCGGCTTGCTCTCTGGTCATTTCACTTGACATACCAACAAATGCTCAAGCTCCTAAGCAGAAATCAGTAGTGATTTTCAGTGCAAAGCTTCCATGCTGACCTGGCTTGTTGGACAAGCCAAAATAAGGCAGGAAAAGGGACATTTTCAATCAGGGATATAATTTTGAGTGTTGGGGTCTTTAAAGTTAAAAAGTGTAAAATGGTACCATACAAACCTCTTGTGCTGGAGGTCTGGATGGTCTAAGTAAGCTCTTCACATGAAGCCCCAGGTGCTTCCCTACAAAGAAAGGGGAAAGTTCCCATCGGAAAGTGAAGACCATTTTAAGTCCTTGCACAGACACTGCAACGTTCTTAGCCCTGCTGAGCTCTCAGATCTACTGCCACCTTAGCAGCCTCACTCCTGCACTCAGCACTTCAACAGGATTACACTCAATGGATGAAGAGGATGCAAAGATTTGCAGATGGTGGCAAAGGAGAAGTTAATGGACAAAAGCTCCATGCAAACACCTGAATGCCTGGAGTCACTGTCCACAGCCCTGATTGAAGGGGAAGACTTGGGCACAGCCCAGAAGCAGTAAGCACAGGATACCTGCATCCTGTATTTACAGCTTTATCTGCTCTTGTATGAACTGCAGACAATGTTCTTACCTTCCCTCACTATTCTTGGGCCCCACCTATGCAGAAGCAGGAAAATACAAATAAATATTTACAAGACCAGTATACCGCATTCATTACCTGCTTCTCTGCAAGCATTGCTATGAAACAATGTATCATGTTTAATAAAAACAAAACCCCAAAACATCACAATACTGACATTATCCACAGCTTTATAAGGGAAGAGTTCATGTCGCATTCTCCTCCTCTTCCAAGGACAGCAGAGGAGAGTTTGTACTAGAACTGCACTCTGTGCATAGTAGGAGTGCTTGGCTCTGTTGGACAGAAGTTGGGGTCAGTCTCTGAGATGTCAGAAACCAGTAGCACTGTGGCACAAGGCTTTACCTCTGCTGGCTCCAGTCACCAGAACTGGCTCTCCAATGTCCATGAGGCATGGGATGCTACAGTTTTTCACAGCACTCCTGCAGGTTGCAGAACTTCTCTTTTTCCCAACGTCTGACACTGCCTCTGGCATTGCTGGGAAGAACTTCTTCATCCAGCTGGTAGGTTTCTTTGTTGTAAGCATTCTAGCCTTTTGCTTCTTCATCTCAGAAGAAACATTAACTCCAAGGAAGTTACAAATATCAGACGGGAAGGTAAAACCCCTGATGTAAGGCATCTGTTGGGTCTCAGATACCAGATGAAGCGATATTGATAACACGCCATACAAGGACACAAGGCTCTGCAACACACACCTGTACTGAATCCTGAAGAGAAAAGACAGAAAGATACGGAGTCTGCTCTAGCAAAACCTTGTGCTCACTGAACAACTACCTTCAGCTCACGCAGAGAGCTGATGGAAGAGATTCCAAGCTGCCCTTTCCCTACTCCCTGTCAATACAAGTTTATCTTCTTGTGGTCCCATCACCACACTTCCTTCATGTTAGCCTGACCATTAATGAACAGCTCAAGATCAGAAAGTAGGAATGACTTGACTCATAAATTCCTGATCAGGAACCCCTCTGCTTCCCTAGAGCTTTGCTGAGTTGCACACCTGGAACTTACCAGCCAGTCAGGTCACAGCCAAATCCTTTGACGTGAGGTCTTCCCCAAAAGCAACTTGTACCACCTCAGGACAATGGTACGAGCACTGATGCCATACAATCGCCTACTTGATGTTTACTGGGGAGACAGATTTCTTGTGCCAAAGAATGTTTTACCAAGTTCTTTACATAATGCTGTTACTCCTTCAGCTACAAACAGCAGTTACTTCCTCGAACTGAGAGACCCCAGAACACTGATTTTCCTGGAAAACTCAGCAATATCATAGAACAACTTTATCTCAGCCTTTCCATTTCAGGTTGAGGCAGGACTTATGGCTGCTGCAGAGTACCAGATGTTAGCCTTTTTGGCAAGCTGGCATTAACTCCAAGATTTCATAAGTGCTACATAACATTTGCTATGAACCAAGAACAAAGCCTTCTGTAACAGCATGTAAGAAGTCTCTCCCCACTTATACAATTCCTCAGATGCTAGAATCAAGTCCAAAAGGATACAGGGACTCCCCTCCTCCCAGCTGAATAAAGCTCACTCAGCAGCAAGGACTAATTACAAGCCTTCTCTCCCTGACAGGCACATCAAACAGACAGACAACAGACTTTTGAACACACAAACCATAGCCGGCTCAACATCCCTGAAGCCACAGTGTTTAAAAGTATGAATTCTTCTGAGCAGAGATGTTTAATGGACAAGCTGAAAATTATACCACTTAAGGATAAAAAACAAACAGCATGTAATGAGACTTGCTGAACACACCAACTAGAGGCAATTCACCAGGCAATATCCTGGATAATTTGGGAGACAAGTATCCATATTTTGGGTTCCTCCATAATAACTTGAAAATAAGGTGTTTGGCTATCAAAGAAGCTTCAAGTTACACACATGAATTGCACAGTTGAGTATATCAGCAATACAGGGCCTACAGCAGACCCAGTTCTGGCCTCATGAGGTGCTGCTGGTGAACTTTAAGAACATTTTCACTATGAAAAAAGGATACAGAAAAGCTTTACAGCAACAGTCCAGCAGGCGCATTATGAGCTTGCAGCCTCCCAATACCTTCAGAGCCACTGTTTCCAGTATAGGCTGGCTGGGAACTAAGCACTCTGCATGGCCTTGGGATGTATTTTTCCTGTATTGATACACAGATGAGGAGAGATGGTTATGGTCTAGCACCCCATTCCTTTAGCTCTGCATACTGTTACTAGATAGTATAACATAGGGGATCACAACACTTACTTGGGAATAAGTTCTGCCAGGGTTTCAATGCAGCCCACCAAGTTCATTTTCCATAGGCGCTTCAAGCATTGCTCTACCTAGAAAAAAGAAAACCCCTTTGACTGGCATTCTGAGAGATGGGAGTGCATTGGGCTAAGAACTGTTACTCTATCAAGTGACACTATCAGTTTAACAGAATAAATTGCAAGTTTGCATAATGGAATATTCTGGTACGTTCCTGTATCTGCACTATGATGAAAAAAGTTCCCTTTATCACACCACTGTCAATACAGAATGAGGTGAAGGTTTGGAGTAGGCCACTGTTAACTGGTGCTGCATACCTTCAGTATTGCATACCCTTGGTTTTGGCTTTCAAGAATGAAAATGCATAAACAGAGAAGATAAGATTCTTCATCAGGAACTGTAGCAATAAGACAAGGAGCAATGGGTTTAAACTTAAAACAGAGGAAGTTTAGATTGGATATAAGGAGGAAGTTCTTTACTGTGAAGGTGGTGAGGCACTGGAATGGGTTGCCTGTGAATGCTCCATGGGAGCTGTGAATGCTCCATCCCTGGTGGTGTTCAAGGCCAGGTTGGACAGAGCCTTGGGCAAGATGGTCTAGTGTGAGGTGTCCCTGTCCTGGCAGGGGAGTTGGAACTGGATGATCTTAAGGTCTTTTCCAATCCAAACCATTCTGTGATTCGATAATTGCTGTTCTATTTAAAACTGTTATTTGAAGATACTAACAGTCCCTTTACTAGAAAGCTGGTTAAAGAGTTGTTAAACCAGAACATGCCTAATAGAGCAGCCTAGGATTTCCCCCCCCCCCTTACAATTAATTGAAAACTAAATCACTGTATTACTCTATAGTACCATATATTACACACAGCCTGTATTCAAACGTATGCGGTTGTATCTACTTTAGGCTACAGCATGGGTGTAAAAAATCCAAGTACTGATTCCAGAGATCTGGAAAGCCGAAATTGCACTGGTTGCATAGAGCCTGGAATCCCACTGAACTACCCCAGGCGACTGCCGACTGGGGCCCGGAGCGCAGCGCCCAGCCGCCAGGTCCCTGTTGCATAGCCAGGGCTGCTCCTCACCTGCTGCAGGGCCAGGTACGGCCGGTGCCGGAGCAGCCTGCTGTGGTAGACGTAGAGCACGGCCCGCAGCACGCGTTCCTCGACGGCCAGGCCCGTCCCCGACAGCCGCTTCCGGGCCATGGCGCACAGCCGCCGCAGCGCCGGCAGACACCTCACTGCGGGCGGGACACAAGCACGGCCTCAGCACCAACCGCGTACCCCGACAGCCCCCACACGCCCCCCAAACGCCGCGAACGCCGTGAGAGTAACTTAAAACGTCCCCCCCACCCGCCCCGGCCGGCGGCAGGGACCTGCAGGGTGCTCAGCCGTCAGGGCCACCGTGGCGCTGCTCGCCGGCCACGGCACCTCCACCCGGTTCCACGCCGCCTCGGGCGCCGCCATCTTTCCCCACACGGAGGCGGTGCCGCGCAGGACAGGAGGGAGACCGGACGCGGGCGGGACTATGTTGGCGGGTCGGGAAGGGAGGGTGCGGGCCGGACCAAGTCAGGCCAGGGGGTATGCTGATCCCCGCGGAAGGGCCGGAGGAGGCAGGCGGGCGGAGAGGCAGCTGGTTGGGGTAGCGCTTGGTGCTGGGGTCCGCAGTGCCTGGGGTGCAGTTGCCCTTTCCCGTACAGCACAGCGGGGCCGCTGGCAGGCGGGCACCTGAGAGTCGCGGAGGGGAAGCTCCCGGGCCTCCTGTCTTTCAGGGCCGAGCCTGAGAGCCCAGCCCAGCTCGGCCCCACGACAGTGCAGATGCGGCCCTGCCATGCACCATGACCAGGCTGATGCCGGGTGTCCTGGGTTCAGCTCTTGAACCAGGACACAGGGGCAGATTGGAGGCCATGGGTCAGCCCAGAAAACAGTGCCCGGCCGTGATGGCCATTGCTGGCTGTGAGCACTCACCACATGGAGTAGTGACACAGAACACACTGGCCTCAACATGTTTCCAAGGCCCGGGCCTTGACTCTGACACTGCATTCCTAGAATGTCATTAAGTGAGAAGGGAAATAAATATGAAATATTCACAGTTCTTAAACTTCACAGTGCTCAAGGCCAGGCTGGATGCGGTTTTGAGCAACCTGATCTAGAAGAGGCATCCCTGCCCATGGCAGGAGGGTTAGAACTGGATGAACTTAAGGCCCTTTCCAACCCAAACCATTCTAGGATTTTGTAATTCAGCACCTGCCTTCAGAATTCAGCTTTTCAGAGCCAGGGCAGGAGCAGCTGAGGTCCTCACAATGTGCTGCAGACACTGTGGCTGCAATAGGGCTCTTCAGGGGATGACCCTATCAAAGCCATACAACTGTCCCTTCTTACCTCACACACACCCTTAAGTGCAAAAACCCTGTGTAACTTATTCACACCAGCAGCAATTCCTGACAGCATTTTGAACTGCCTCTGCTCTCAGTGCTCACCTGGCTTGCCTGGTCCCTGCATGCACTGGTTGCTCCCAGCTCTAGCTGTTGGTATTTCTTATGGCAGAGCCAAAGGGTCAAGGCCAGGCAGGAGTGGGCCTTGTGGTGGACACAGGTGCCTTGTGGAGTTGATTGCTGTAATGTATTAGTGCTCCCAGAATAGCTTCCCATGAAATGGATTGACTTTTCATGGTTATCTGTGAGTTATTCTCTCCTGAGTATAAGACATTATTTCCTCCGTCCTTCCCTCTGCCTGAAGTTGAATGCAGCCTTTTCTTACTTGCCAGCATTAGTATTCCACTTAATAGATTTGTTAGGAATGATAAGAGTAAAACCTGAGTATGATTTCTTTACAGTACATTTGTTGTGTACTTTCTGTTTTCTGTCAAGGAGCCTCATGCAAATGCAGATTAAAGTGGTGTCCCTTTAAAGCTATAGAGCAAAATTAGCATTAATGCTCACACCTGTTGGAAAAAGGTGAGCGCAAACCAAACCAGGAGGCAAAGAGGATTAAAGGCAGAAGCCTGGGCTAGGAAGGAGAGTGTTGGGTTTCTTAGGGTAGGCTGGGAGTTAGGAGGTAAAAGTGAAAATGGCGTTTCTGTGGTGTGAGCAGAGGATTACAAAGGTTTCTCTAGCTGAGATTCTGAGGTGTTTTGACCATCCTTTGAGTGAGGAGCAAGCCTGGGCTGTCTGCTTTCAATGTTGCTGTAAAATGAAGCAGTTGGCCAAAGGGCTGTGTCCACTTCTCCATTCTGTATTCATAAATGGTCCTGAAAGCATCTTTATCCATGCTGATGGTACTGCTTCTTTCATGGTGTACCATGAGTCCGGTAAGTGTGTGTAAGGGCTGCCAAGGCTTGTTCTTATAATGGGCTGGCATGTGGGGCATGAAGTGAGGAAATACCTTTCCCTTCTCCCCCATTTTCCCTCTAATATATTGTCATGAAGCTATTCTGCTGCCTGAACTTAATTTCAAAGGACCATAGATGGGTGATAATACACACATACAGCCTACTAGCTTTTCTGGTAGTGCCCTAGTGAGTTATTTGTTCTAGGGTATAGATGGGATAAAATTTTGTTACTGCTTGTGTTATTTGAAATAAATAATCTGAAGTTTTATTATATGTCCTTGTCAAATCTTCCAAACTATGGTTCTTTTGTTATGGTATCTCTCAAGACAGGTCTATGACTGTCAGTTTCCCTGTTTTTGTCACTACATTTAGCCAGCAAGTGGCAACATGCCTTTCTTACACATAGCTTGGCTGCGCTACTGCACTTTTCAATGGTGGGCTAACCCTCCAGGGACAAGAGCTGGTACTAAAGAATGAAGAAAAAGATCCTCGGTCTTCCTTGTGTTTAGATATGTATTAGTTAAAGTATAAAAGTATTCTGCAGATGTTAGTTTGGGGTTAATGCTTGTAACAAGGAGAGTGTCCTGTATTGCTTTTCAGGAGTCTGATGTTAGAGGGGTTTGTTTCCTTACTGCCAAGAATTCTAGTTTCCCTCTCTTGAGAGGGATTCCAAAAGCTGTTTTTCAGTGCCTATGCAGTTATCTTTTTCTTCCTCTTTTCTTTCCCTTTCAGATGTTGGCAGCATTCAGCAGTCAGAGGACAAGGTAAGTCTGTGTCTTCACATTTGTTATGTGTGCAGATACAATGCTGCTGTAATGGAAAGCCAGTTCAGGAGATGCAGATGTCTTTTAAACTATGAAAGTGCTTAAACTTGCTGTGCCCTTTGAGAGTGACCGTCCCTTGCAATCTGGAAAATGAAACAGAATGCCAGGACTGAACTCCAGCAAGCCAGTGGGGCTGGGAAACAATGTGGACAGATGCTGCCTATTGTGGAATAGCCCACAGTCTTTTTTTGTCTTAATGACTTACAACTTAGAGGTGCTAGCTAAGGCTGCTTTAAAATCTTAAAGCAGCTTATTTAGGTAGTATCTCAGGCTATCCAATGAGCATCTAGCTGCCTTTTGGGGCCTTCTTGTCCAGAGAGAGGTGCTCTGCCCTGAGAAGCAGTGGAGGGTGCACTCATGGTTGGAAAGTGATAGCTGTGAAGTTTTCCACAACACTTTGCACTACACTGTTTCCTTTGGCTCTGTCTGCAGCTGTTGGAGTACTTGGGAATAGTGATCTATGAAGCCCTGGACTGGGGAATCAGTGACCAAGTGGAGCGAGAACTGAGTGATCCTTTGGAGAAACTGCTGTACTTAATGTTGAAATTGGATGATGGGGCAATGAAACCAGCAGTCACCCTGCAGGATGTTATAAAGGTTTCCTTTTTCCCACTTAATAAATATAATAGCTTTAGAAGAGTTGAGGAACCATGCTGTTAACTAAGGGCAAGACCACTTCTGGGAAAAGGCTCAGCAGCTTGCTGGAGGGCATAGAGGGAGCATGTGGCTTTCCAATCAGAGAAAAATCACAAAACAAGTTTAAATGCACCCAAGTGCCTATGGAAAAGAAATAAGAATGAAGACTGGACATGTCTCTTGTACAGCTGTGTCTACAAAGCCCTTCTGTACATAGTCTTCAATACCTAGAAGACTATGGATAATGGCGGGGGGGGCGGGGGTATCACTTGTCCTTACTGTTCAGTTTCTGCAAAAGCTGGGATTTGAATGTCTCAAAGTAATATTTTCCTCTCAACCATAATTTAAAGGTATAAGAAACTTTCCATCTTATGGAGAACAAGATAAATAACACAGCTACTTACATTATTGTACATACAAGATGGGACATCTTGTTGCTTTGTTCCTCTGCATCTGCAATAGTTGGGGGGAAAGGTACAATGGGGCTGTGAAGAAGATGTTTTTTAACTATGGATTGAGAAAACAGAATCTTGCTTTATTCCATCCAAACTTATTTTTCATGTTAAGATTTCTCTTAACTAGCTGCACTTCTTTCAGGCCTGTGAGGAGCACTTGTCCAGGTCTTCTGAGGCTACCAGCCATTACCAAATTACCTGTAGGAGACTGTTTACTGGATATATGGAACTTAAGAAGCTTATAACTGTCATCCAGACCTCCAAAGAGGTACATTTGAGATCACTACTTAGCTGCCTATTCCCTCTGCATTCACACACCTAGTTCTAAAGTAACCTTCCTGCTGCACTAAAAATACAGTACCTAGCTGAAGGGTTATTTTCACGATGTGAAGGTCTACTGTTTCTGCACCATGTTAGTAAGTTGTAGCTTTTGATAGTTGAGGTGTCTGAGGCTTCTAGGCTTTTCAGATTAACATTAGTAATTGGTACTGAACAGTACAAGATCATGACTTCATGTGCTTCTTTCTCAGAGTCTGAGAAAAATGGATGCGGAAGGTGTGGTGGAAAAGACCCTTCAGAAGGACAAACACTGGGTAAGGGACCTAATCCCTTCATTATGAGGGGGTGTGGTTTTTGTTTACCTTGGCTCTGTGGCTTTTCATTGACTCCTCTATGAAAAGTAGAGCATGAAATCAAATGAAACTTGTTAGGTTGTTCAAAGCTTAAGTAGCTAAAGAGTCATCTCCAAAACAATTTGGAGAGTGGACTTGAAGTTAAACCAGTTTGTGTGTTAACCCCACATGGACATTTACACCTCACAAAGATTGTCTTCGTGGTTCAACTTAAATAACTTCTAAAAATGAAGTTTGAGGCAGTCTTCAGAGTAAGTGTTTTTTCCTGCAAGTGAGCCTCCAGCTCTTGGCAGCGACTGATATTTGCCAAAAGCAATCTCTTCCTCCCTTGTAGCTGGACTAAAAACGCCCAAACTGTTGGTGGCAGCACTGGGGTGGACTAGTTCACTCTTTCTGTGTGGAGTCTGTGCTGGTTCAGGGCTGGAGGGAACTGAAGGCCGTTAGTTGTGTCCATCTTTGTGGTTGTGTAGCTCCAGCAGCTCAAACAAAGGGCTGAAGGAGGGCGAGGTTGGAGATGTACCCACTACCTTCTGCTCACTGCCTTTCTTGTCTTTCCATCCTCTCCTTCCATAGAACTTGGACTCTCTTTGGGGCAAATAAAGCAACTCAGTCTTTTCAAGGCCGTGCACCGTCAGGGCTCAATCAGAAACAAATAGCTCTTCTGGCTGGAGCTCTGCCCAGCATAAACAAATGCACTGTAGTCTAGAGTCTGTAGAGGCAAACGGCAAGCCCCAAGAGACTCGTGGACTTGCTCCCTTTGTCTAAATAGCACTTGCTTTGAAGCTTGCTCAAACTATTTGTATGAAAATGTTTGTGAAATGTGTGTTTGGGCATATTCTCAATTTTGTGATCTATTAAAATAAACTGGCAAGCTATCTGAAACCACAAACTCATCAACTGCTATAGCTCTTTTCTGTAGGGAATACATGAATAATACATGGGCTTTGCCATGTGGCCTGAAGGCCAGTGTATTTGGCCTCTCGTCCTTCAGGAGGCATGAATTCCAAAGCAGGATGTCTAGTTTCCAAGTCCCTAAGCACCAGTTGGTTGCATTGCTCTGACAAACTCTTCAGTTTAAAATAACCAGAATGCCAACTTCACTGGGATCCCACAGATTAGAGCTGATGCCTTGAGTGGTGCCAAGCAGATAATGCTCTCTCTGGGCCACACTTTTTTGTGTGGACTGCTACAATGCAGGCCTTCTGAAACCTAGATCACAGCCCGATAGCATGTAGCCTCTGCAGAGCTTATCCGTACATGTCACAAGACAATCTTTGCCTTGAAATCTAAGCAGTGAGAATATAGCTGTCTTGCCACTCATCTGTTGAACTGAAGGCAGTGGGTGTAGAGTGTTGCAGCATTTTGTGTGTGACAATCCATGGAATGGCTGAAGGGGTAAGTTGAGGGAAGATGCTTCATACTGTAAGTGGAAAAGGGAGAGGAGTTTAAGTCAAACTTTGTGCTGAGGCAGTGGTCTAAAATATTTTGCTTCCCTTTCACCGTTTATAATACAATCACTTGTTCTCATTCAGTTTGCCTTTGGGATCCAGATAAGCTGTTGACTTAACAGTTCCATTGCAGTGGTGTTTAAACATGCTATTCAGTTGATTTTTATTTTTTTTTTTCTGCTTTTAACTTGTGTTGGGTTACACTGCATGCCTGAGCATCCGCAGATATTAATACAGGAACAGGATGAGCAGATGTCAATTACCAGGTTGTGTCTCCAGGCTGAAACTGCTAATGTAGGCTGCTGGGAAAGTTGAAGTATGATTTTGTCTGTGTGTAGTATTGTGTGTGTGTGTGTGAAGTATTTCTTTGTCCGTGGACCCTTCAACCCTTGGTTTCTGAAAGTTCAGAGGATTTTAATGGTAAGATTAGGTATTTAATTCCCAAGGTTTTCTTGGATCAAATAATATGAAAAAGCTCTGGCACCTGGAGCACTAGCAGGAAGCATTCAGGTATTCAAGAAAATGGCTCCAGCTACCTGGCAGCAGAAGCTGTGTTTTGCTGAAGTATGTTCATGAAGTTAATGACAAAATTTGGGAATAAGCCTGGTGAGCCAGCTCCCTTGTTGTAAATTAACTTCTGCAAAGATAAGCAATTCTCTGCTGTGGTACTGGGCCCTAATCTGGCAGTGAGTTGAAAGTAGTGTTAAGGACACACTTGTATTTCTGAATGACTTCAGCTGCTAAATGTGCCCCATTACATGGAGGGAGGGTATGGGATGGGATCTACTCCATGTGTTCTAGCCAGCTGTTGACTAGGCCCTGACTGGTTTCTCTGAGGCATTCCTGTGGTCCAGTGTTGTTCGTGAGCTGCAGAAGGGTGTGAAGCTGCGTAAAGCTACTGAGCGGCCACAGCATCGCTTGCCTCCAGCAGAACGTACCCATTCTCCCTATGAATTACTTTTGGATGATATTCAGTGCAAGAGGTTCACCCTTCGGAAGGTGAGTGACTGCAGTCAATGGACGACTTTGAAACCACCCGTTCTACCTCATTTCTAAATAGTATTTGTTGAGACCTCTCCTCCGAAAGACTGGCTTTCTCAAAGGTACTTTCAAGTCCAGAAGCATCTGGACTTAGAAGTACCCTCTCAGCTGCAGCTCAGCATTAATTCACCCTGTTTGTCCACTCAGGTTCTTAAGTTCCTATAACTTTTTAAGTTGGGGGGTATCCACTCTTTCCTAAAGCTGGATGGTGAACTTTTTCTCCCTTCAGGGGTCAGCGACTTCCTTTCCTGGAACAATTGCGTTGCCTTGTATGCAACAGTTTCATGAAATGCTTTTGCCCACTTATGCTTCCCACCTGGGACACTTGTGTCCTCCCAGGCTCCTTTAGCTGAGCTGTACCTGGCATCTCTCACTTGTTTCCTTGCCTTCACAGATATAGGATATGTGCAAGTGCAAAAGCACTTTTGAGTCCTTTGCTCAGCCTCAGTCAGAGGCCTCTAGGCAGTGTACATGAGCTACTGCAGGAGTTTACTCAGGGTAGAAAAACTGCTGATTCCCTTCCAGGGGCAGCTGCTGTGCTGACTCAAGTGGCAGGGGCTTCCAACAATGTGGCTGGTTGGTGAAGATGACCAGAGACAAAAATGTCTGGGATGCCTCCAAAGGCTTGTAATGCTGTTCACTTGCTGCAGCTTGAGCTGGAAATGATGAGCAGATCTAAAACACTGGCATAAGGCTTTGTGGCATTGGCATGCTTTGCAAACAGACGCCTTGGCAGAAGATGAGACAACTCTACTTGTAATGAAGAGTATTTTTAAAGGTGAAAACTTTGCATACAGCACTAGACATTGGGGTTTTTTCTCCTTGTTGGTGCTGCTGGAGGGCAGGGGGTTTAGAAGTCTCAGCGAAAGCCTATACTTTTATAAAATCCAAGTCTTGTTTGTCTTGACTGTGACTCCAGCCTCCAGATAAAGCTATGACATTTCTCTGGAGGCGATATCTTCATTGATGTATAAATGAATAGTAGTGGAAAGGAGACAGTACATCGTAACTACTTATGCTCCTTGCAATGCACTGTGTACCAATGCACTGTGCAGTACAGAACCATAACTCAAGGTGGCAGTATGAGCTGGGTCTTGATTTTATTTCCTTTTTTTTATTTTTTTGTGGTTGAGAGAGAATCACCAACATGCTTGAAAAGTAGTAGTCAGAAGTGCTAGAAGAAAGCATAGAGTGCTACTGCTCAGGTGTTTGTGAAGGCTTTTAAACAAGAATTTCCTCATCAGCTATTGTAAAGCTTCTCTAGCAAACAGTACTCTAATTTGCAAATGAATGAAAACTACAGCTATTGTGGGAAGCTGTAGTGTTTTTCTACCTTCACTCCCACCTGTTCGGAAGCTGTACACACAGGGAAAGTAAATGGCATAGCCTCAAAGTAAGAATAAGTGAAATGGGGCAGCTAAAGACATGCATGTGCAACTTCTGCCAGCTCTCTCCTATGCAGCGAGCACAGGGCTTGATGATGGAGACAGTCTGCCTCCTGTGAATACCTGCTCTGCAATTCTATCTTGCTGGTGTTCCTAGTTTGTGTAGGACTGTAAGCCAGTCTCTGGCTTACATATATCTTATGTATACAGCTTACGCACGTATACGTAGCTGTATGCATAAGCTACATTACATATGTAGCTGTATATATACAGCTGCCTGCTTCTACTGTTCCTGTTACAGTCTTGTTAACCCATTCAGTTACTCTCCACCCTGGAGCTTGAGTTGTTGCTGAATGTGATCCTGCTTGTCAGGATCATTCCTGATATTAAAATTTGAGTACAATGTTATTTAGTGGCTTTTCAGATCAGTTCACAAGCTAGAAGGCTGTATGCTTCTTGTGCAAGCCTTGTAAATATGTTTCTACCAAACCCCATGTAAATTAATCTCATAATTCTTCTCTTCCCAACTCAGTTTTGTCATGCCTTTCCTACCTCCCCATTCCCAAATCCTGATTTGAGTCATTCAGTGTGCCACTGAATAGGAGTGTGTATCAGGAGCAGCGAAAGAACTGTTGTTCAAGCATAATTTCTGTTCTTTCAGGTAATCGAGCAGAAACACAGGACCCCCAAAGCTGATGTAGCTGTCCCCAAGCCTCATCTGAAACCTGTAGGTAACCTGGTGCTGTGTCTAGTGACAGCAAAACAAGATGATTTTGCAGCTGACAGGACAACTTAGGAATATAGGGTTACTGGTTTGGGTTTGGGAGGAGGGTATATTAATCACACTTAACTTTTGGGCACACCCTACTGCCAAAATGCGTGGTTAGAAAATGGGGGGTGACATCTGCATAGAAGAAAGATAGTCAATCTCCCTAATTCCTCCACTGTTTCTCCCATTTGGAACATTCTGTGGTCCTGAAAGTACTCCTGGAGTTCTCAGTTTCAAATTTGAGAGTTGATAAAGTATTCTAGTATGCATTATCTAGAATTTGTTTGTGTGCAGGGCCCAGTGGGTGAGAGGCACTTGTTAAAACAGTGCCATTGCTGAAGAAATAGCTCTGTTGCCACTTTGGTCTTGACTTTTTCTTGTCCTGTGTTTTGCTCCCAGGTGCTGGAGAGGAAGCTGAAAGAGCACATGCCACAGGAGTCCAACTGGCATGAACAGCTCATGGTGAAAGTAAAACAACTGCAGAAGCTTCAGTCATCAGCAGCAAGGGAAAATGGGAGCAGGCCCAAAGGTACCCGCTACAAAGTGACCTATCAAGCATGCAAGTAAAGTCAGTGTTAACTAAAAGTAATAGATGGTTTTTGAAATGGAAGACCACTCATCTTTTCCATAGCATATAAAATGCAAGGGAGGTGGGATGCAAATGTTTTGTGATAGAGGTGGTATGGCATAAGAATGGTTCTTTCTAGAAAATCTGTTTGAGGCTTATTAAGTCTCAAAAGATGTTTCAACTTACCCTTTATTAAATGGGAGTTCAAATTTGTCTGTCCACTAAGTGAAAGAACAAGATTTTGACCATTACCTAAAGCTAAAATATTGTTACTAGCATGACAAAGTCTAGCCAAATAGCAAATTCTGATGTGTGGATATTAAATTTGTTGTTTTGTCACAGCACGATACCTTTATCTTGTCTGTGTGTATGGGGATTTTTGTTCCCCTCTCCCATGCAGAAATGCTTGTGACACCAAATACTGCCTTGAAATCTCCAAGCGATAGTTTCCAGACTCTCCAGGATGACAGTACAGGGTTTAAAATTGTCGACACTACAAGACAGCATCTGGGACCAGGACTTCAGGTAAAGGTTTAAGTGAAAGGAGTCTGGAGAGGCACTAGATCTGCACACACATATAGCTTGGGACATCAGGTTCAAATCCCAGTGTGGGCAGTCTTGTCTTTCCAAAGTGAAGGAATGTGGTATTACTAGATTCCCTGAAGTCCTTCCTGCTACAGAAGCTCATGCCATGTTTAAACACTGTGGCATGATAGCAGTCTATAGAGCCAAGGCCTGCTCTGGTCTTTTAAAACTAGATCCTGCAGAAGTTTTAATGTTCATAGGAGTGATTGTTCTGTCCTCCATCTTATAGGAAAACACTCTGAACCTGCCCTCCAGCTCCTGGCTTGCCTCAGCTAGGTCAGCAGTAGTATCCAGCAACAGTGCAGGTCAGTGTACTTTTAGCTGCACATTTAGACCAGGTGTCAGTGGCCTGCTGGGTTCCCAAAGCCTTAGGGTGGGCTCACCGTACCCTTTGATCACCTGAAAGCACTTTAACAGGAGAAGCTCCAGTGCTAAGTAATGCTTCTGGGGAGGTGCCCTTAGAAAACCATTGCTCTGCAGTTGACTGAAATTTGTATAGCTCCTGCAGCTTCAAAACAATGATAGCATGTTCCCAAAGGCCTAATTGGAATCCACAGTAGAAGCTAAATGGGTGTTTTGAATGTTCAAGTAGAAAGTGCACCACTTAATACTATTAAACTAAATAGTGCTAATGAAACCTTGTCACTGCCTACTGACAAGCGTAATTACTGTAACCTCTGCTTTTTGTTATCTGAGCTAATGGGTGTTGAGGGAGAGAAATGTAAGCCTTGCTACCTTCAGAAGGCAGTGTAATGCTCTTAAGCATTCAGCTTTTGGGGTGAATACTTAGAAACTGCCTGCTGGTTTTCTATACCCTCAAACTCTCTTCCTCTCCAGGTCTTGCTGCAAGTTGCACATGTCCTCCTGTGAGTGCACCCATGCTAGGAGACATTAAACCTAATGGCTTCCTGAATGCTGACCAAATGCAGCTGCCTCCTTACAGAGGAAGGTCCAGTTCTGTAGAGAGAGGCCTTCAAAGCAAAGAGCTTGTAAGTCCAGCATGTCTGCTAGCACACCTGGTCTGATACATCTGGTAACGACTAGAGCTTGCACCTTGATCTCTGCAAGCAGTAAGCATGTTTTGTGGTTTTCATCTTGCACCATATTGTATACTGATATTAAGCTGATATATTATTCTCTCCTTGGAGATGCTTAATTGAAGACTGGATGCTCTAGTGTCTTTGTGGAGGCTTCCCAGTTTGCATGATAGGAAATAGAGGTCCTCATACAAGAAGGGAAAAATACCACTGCATTACTTGAAAGTGTCTGTCAAGGCTTCCTCAAGCAGACTGTAGTTGACAGTGGGGCTGTTTGTGCTTTTTCCTTCTCCTCTCATTCATTTTAGATTCTGATACAATCACAAACTTCTAAATATATGTGGTACTGAAGTCATCAGGCTTTGAATGACTGTTGTGGGAGCAATGATGTGTTTTGGGTGTACCTGTGCAGCCTTCTGAATTATGGCCCCACCTGATGAAGTGTGCTGTGCCCTTGCCTCCTTTCCTTCTGCATCTCCTGCACCCACCCTGGCAAGTCTCTAAACTGGCCATAATTCTGTGTGACCTCTTCATTCAGTAGTGAATGCAGGTGGGCTGGGCTCCTTATCTGGGGATAAAAGCACTGTTGTCTCTCCTGGTTAATCACCAGACCAGAGCTGCCATTGGTGTGGGCCCAGTGAGTCTTGCGAAAGAGCAGGCAAGAGAGTGTTATGCTGTGGAAAAGATCCTGTACCAAAGAGGGGCCAGGAGGCCATCTGTGCTGTGATCTGTACCAAAGGGTAAAATTCCCTGAAGGCTGGCTCTGGACACGGTATTAACTACTATGGGGACCGAGTAACCTGCTTACCTAATGAGGTGTCAGGAAGTTGCTTGAAAACTGTAGCAACCACTAAAACCCCTGTAGTAGTCCCTTTGCTAGTATTGTCAAAGAGTCAGCTGATGTTTCTCATCACTGGCAAAGCTGAGTTTTGGGGATGAATGCTCCTGAGCCTTTTGGGACTGAGTTTTGAGCGTGACCTCCTCAGGTATCTACTTCCTTCAGCTTTCTCTGAATGCTTAACTTCTGTCTTTTTGATAGGACGGTCCCTTTCCTATGAAGTGGCCAACACCTACCATTGCTGAGCTGATTGGAACCAGATATGCAATGATGGTGCTGCAAGGGCAAGGCTTCTTCCAAGGAGGTAGTGATGGTGTCTTTCCAAGAGCAAAGGTATGCTTCTTCTCTTTGTGCTGTCCTTGCCTTTTCAAAAGCTGGCTGGCTTCGTGGCCTTTAGTGCTGAACTCTGAGGTGCTCTGTCTCAATATATCCTGTTCATACAGCTGATCCATGTTTGGCCCTAGGCTGTAAAAATCTTTAATACATTGTGTTTGGCCCTAGGCTGTAAAAATCTTTTAACACATTGTGTGGTAATGGCTTCTAATCAAGCTTAAGCTGTGTGAGTTGTGTAGAAAGTAACCCAGCCTTTGCTTAATACTTCTTGTACTATTATTTCCATGCTAGGAGAGCAGACTGCCAAGTCTGTTGGCCAGCTTTGAAATCACAAAGTAACCAGCTGGTGTTTGGTACTGCTAAACAGACAAAGGCTCTTAACTCAGGCTCCCACACCTGAGTTATGCTGACTGTGAAGGCAGCTGAATTGCTGAGTAAAGGCAGAGCTCAGTGAGATGAGAGGGACAGGGCGACCTGCAGCACAGTCCTGTTGGCTGTCCACTCTGCTCAACTGCTGGCTTATTCACTGAGCCCCTTTAGATGGGGTGTTGTAACCAGTCCTGCTATAACAGATGTTGTGAGTACAAGGCCTTTACACCACAGATGTGAGGAAGTCTGTGCTACTTGGCTTTGGGGTCAGCTTCTTGCCCTCACTTATTTAGCAGTACAGGCAGAGCCAAAGGGTTCTGCTAGCAGAGCTGTGCTGCTGCCACAATCTGTCTGATGCTCCTGAGACTTGTGTTCTTCTTGCCTAGGACTTACTAACCCTGCTTTAACTTGCCTGCTGCCTGCCTATTCTAAAATGGCTCTCTTACTCTCTTTGTTGTCGCTGCTGAAGTTTTTTTAGCTCTCCCAAGCTCTGCTTCTCAAGATAATATCACTTCTGACTGCCAGCTGTGTATGAATGTATTCCTTTTTTTATAAAGTTCAAGTGACTCATCAGCTTCCTTATGACTCATTTTTTGCTTCAGGATTCGATTGAAATTTGCCCCAACTTAATCTCTTTGGGACTGCTGCAGTCTACCTCAAAGAATGTCTCTCTTCTTCTCTCTGTCTTAACTAGCTACTGTTACACTCTTGCACAATACAGCTATTGTTTGCTCAAGAGAGCTTTTTTTTAACACTCCTGTTATCTGGCAGCTGCCCCAAACCTCTGCATCATAAAAACACTGGCCTACAAGTAAGACCTTTTTTGCCTTTTTAGCTTTTATAATTCTTGTGTCTTTGCTATCCTTTATTGGATCTCTGTTATTGTATGTGAATCTAAAGCCTTTAGAAGGTTGGTTTATATGCTTGCTCTTTGGCAGGCAGTGGATACTGTTGGCACAAAGATATTTACCATTTGCATTCACAAGTAACTTTTCTTTCCACAGATCTGTTTCAGCTGCCATAAGCAGATGTTCCTTAAGTGGCCTTACAGCTGTTACCTCTGCAGCAGGTGAGCTGGTACAAAAGGACTGAATAAGGAGGGGGAAAAAGAGTAAAGAAACGGTGCTGAAAAATACTCTGTATTCTAACAGTTGCAGAACTGGATAGGAGCAGGTTGCTGAGCCCTTCAGTTTTGTCTTAATGCACAAGCCAGGTTGAAGTGTCTACAGCTGCAGAGGATGTGGAAAAACTTGCCTCTGAAGTGGTATCTCAATTTTAACTCTTAGTATTAAGCTAGCAATAACCAAATATATTGTGCGTGTATTAGATTAAATTTCTCTGAGATCATGCTCTACATTCTGCTCTGAAGCCTGGATTTAACTTCTGTCAGGGGCTTGAGCAGGTTGTGGGAGAGACTGTGTACCAGCATATTCTGGTGAGGACTGAAAAACTGAACTTCAGACCCTGTGACTGGAAAAGGAGTTGGACCTACTTGTATCCACTTATTCATCTGAGGGTTTTCGTTCATGGGAGGGCAAAAGAGGAACTTCAGGCTCATCTTAAATCTATTTGAAGCATTGAATTGATTAGAAGCAATGAGTAAATAACCATTGGAAACTGAGTAACTTGGTGGTGGTAGTGCTGGATGAAAAGTAGTGGGTGTTTCCAGTTAAAGCCTTCAAACTATGTATGCTTCATTTCAGATCTGCATTTGTACATAATTTCGGATTATTTTAATTAGGATATATAGGAGGGTTGGCAAACTGAATAGTTCTAAGCTTGCTTACTTTGCCATCAAGTGATTGTGCCACAGTCACAAATTAAGTCTTCTATGGGAGAGTCACCCTTAGTTGCAATTTTGGTATCTTCATGGAGCTTTGCTCAAATGATAATGCTGGGAACATTTTTTCTCGTAGTGTTGTCTGCTGTGACTGCTGCATCAAGGTAAGTCTAGTCTTTACAACAGCATATGGATGTTCTACATTTTCTGTTTTCCCTGCACCTTACCTAGTCATAAGCAGCTTTCTGTCATCCCACTCATACCTCAGGTGTACACTCCAGCTTGTTTCTGAGAATAAAGGAGAGGGAATACTACAAGGTGCAAAAGTAGCCAGGATGCCACAGACATATCTTGTCATATTTAGCTAATACAGCTCTGGTTCCTTTTTCTTTCATCCTATGTGAAGTGGTTGGGATTACTATGTGCTCTATTTATACAAGGGTCAGAAAGTTCACTACATTAATGTCTATCTTCTAAGTGCACCAATAAATCAATTGCATGCCATGTGAATTTTCCTGCTAAGGAAGAGCATATGTTTTCCCTGGGAACTCAGGTGACTTGTGTTGTGATTCCAGATGTCCATGCCCTTCAGAACATGTGTACATCTCCCACTTCACTTTCTGAAACTTCTGAGACTCTCCAGAGAGGAGGACCCAGCTACTCAAGAGCAGAAGAGCTTAGAGTTGCTGCATGAAATAGAGCACTGGGAGTATTTTGGGTAAGCTAGGACAGGGATGTTCTGGCTTGCCTTAAAAGATGTTGCCTGTATATGCAAGTCTACAGACTTGCTTACAGCAGTACGTAGTATTGTGCTGGTCAGCTGAATGTTATGCTGAATGACTGGTTTAGCCACTCATATAACTACTCTACTGTTCTCTGGAAGTATGAATTTTGGATGACCAAAATGGAGGATGTGTGGGTGAAATCCGTTTTTCTTTGAGCTAACAGACTTCTTACTTGGGTTCAGAAGTGTTCATATTAGTCCAGACATAGAAGGTTCCTTTGTGACAGCTTCATTTGTATGAGAATTTCCAGACCCTATAATACTCTGTCCCTTGCAGCCAGAGGTCTGTCACTACAACCCAAGAGAGCCCCCTTCTACCTAGTGTGCTAATGGTCTCAGCTGCAAGTGCCTGAAGAGTAATGCCACAGATGGCTTCTCAGTCTCTCCAGATACATACACACACTCTTTCCTTTTTTGTCCACAGAAAGGAAACCATTTCAAAAAGAGCTTTTGACAGTTCTGGGTGGAAAAGGATGACCTTGTGGGTATACGTGCAATATCTAGGGACTGAAAAGATGTATTATCTCTTATCTTTCCGGATCAGTTATATGCTGTACTGGGGGAATAGGCATCTTTTCTCTCTGAACCCATTCTTTAATGGGTCAAAGTCACAGCAGTTTCTGGTTCAAAGGCTTGTAATTCAGTTGCCAAAAAACAGAGGTAGTGTTCACTACTGAAGTTAGCTACGTGGGGTGGTGGTTTGGTCTGTCTTATAATGCAGGTGCTGCAGAAGAGGTCTGAGTGACTGCATTACTGCCATACTTCAGGATGGCAAAAAAAAACCAACCAAACAAACACAAACATACAGGATAAGGATGTAGCCATAACCTTGGATCAATCAGATACCCATTGGCCCTCAGCCCTTTGGCTGGCATACTGTCAAGAGAGAGGTGTCAGTAAATTAACCTGTTCTGGTGCTTAGTAGCCTTCCTAAGTGAAGCTGGCTGCTCTGTTGAACTCGTGCATCTAGCTAAATCACTTAGCACTGTTGGACCACAGAGGCGGGGAAGGGTGGAAGAGTGCTACGTCCTGCAACAAAAACCTGTGCCAGCTTTCCTGCTTTTCTTTTTCCCCTCTCCCACTCCAGTGTACCTGTTACTTTGGAACCCCGTTGCCTAGCACGGCCTCTCTGCTGTTACACAGGGCCTGTGGCAGACTGGCTGACTGTAGACATCTGTAGACAATGTGAGCAGTATCTGCTGAACATGGCTTCCAGTCAACAGCAGAGCATCCCTCTCAGGAGAACTTCCTGTCCTTGAACCAAATTGGAGTGAGTCTGCTATACGTTTGTCCTGTCACTTGTTCTGTACCTGAAGTAAATGAAGTGGCTTCATGCACCCACAGACATAAAGGCCTGAATACAAGACCTCCCTGCCTGGTTAGTCTAAGTGGGAAGCGCAGTTGGTATGTATGTATTGTGAAGTATTATAAAGCTTTGTGGCTTTTAGAATTGTTTTAATTCTTGTTGTGTTTTTGAGAAAAATAAAGGTTGAAGCACTGTCATGCCTCTAGCATGTCCTCCTTTGCATCTGCAGTTATTGTTCTGTGGCATTGTTTGCATTCATTGCTGAGCAGAATTTGTGCTATGTAAGAACTCTTAACCTAAAACTGTCACAGAGAGGCTTAAGTGAAGCTCTTGGTTATTTGTTCGTATTACCATGCATTTTGAAAACACTTAGTCCTTCCTGGTAACTCACTAGAAAGCACTTAAAACTCACTGCTCTGCATGTAACACTTCTGGTGGCTGTCAGGCAGCCTGCTCAGTCTGCTTGCTTGGGAAGCTAGCTCTTGATTCGGTTTTTGTTTGGGTGCTCTCAGTGCTTTGCCACCATAGCTCTTCAGTTTGTGTCACTGAATTACATAGTATATATCAATGCCATCATCACCTGAGGAGCACATTGTTCTCAACAGGTTATTGCTCTCTGTATTGGTCTTAAGCTTTACTCTAAGTTATACAATTATGATGTATGACATTCTAGAAAAATACTGGTAAATTCATTGTGTGGTTAAACCAAAATGTGATATGTGATTGTCTGCTTCTCAGAAATTGCTTGTATGGAAGGGGTATAGGTGCTCAGATGGAGCTCTCCCTGGTGTGTTCTGCAGGGCCTGGTTAGGCAGTGTTGAAGGATACAATGGACTTGTAGCTAGAATGAGTCACGCTGAAGAAAATAATGACTGAGAAGGGCCAGTCCTTCCATGAGATGAGAAGGGAAGAAAGACATGTTTAAGCTGAGCCCAAGGTCTGCATCCAAACTGCCAGAAGGGTCAGTACCTCCAGCTGCTTTGTGCTGGCCTAACTCTGCTTCCTCTCATCTGTCTGTCTGCAAGCTGATGCCTACTTGCAGGTTTGGGCAAGCTCAGTGAGTAAATAAATGTGGGGAAGCTGGAGCTTGTGCTTCCTTTTGGAGAAAGTTCAAGTGTTCCTCTTCCTTGAGTCAATTAGGAGGGGTGCAGCCTGCCTGCCCAGGTCCTCTCCTGCATGTGCTAATTGCTGGTGCTGCTGGGAGGCACATGCATATCAGGCAGGTGGGCTCCTTGCAGGCTGCAGGGAATGGCAGCCAAGCCACAGCTGCGCTTGCTGGCAAGATGAGTACAGCACAGGGCCAGGGGCAGGAGGTGCTCTTGGACGCTTGCTGAGTGAGGTAGTTTAGAGATAGCTAGAAGTGAGCCTGGAGAGCAAAGGTGGTTCTAGGTTCTGTCCCTTGCATACCTGCTGTGGTGCCATATGGGCTCTTTCTACTGGCTTTTTATCTTCCTGCCTTGTGGCAGTGAGTGGAGTGATGAAATGCCCTCACTGGCAGAACAAACAGCCAAAAGGGGGTGGGAGTTGGATGCTAAGGGACAGCCTCACCTTCCCTGCCCCTGACCTAGTGAGCTGTCAGTAAGACCCATGTTCCCATCACTCCTCTTCCACTGTACTGGTCGCACTGGCATGTAATGGCCTAGTGCAACCTCTGTCCACCTGTACAGGAGTGGCATGTAGTCCTCTCAACTCTGGCATGCAGCCATTGCTCTTGACAAAGGTAAGTAATGAGAGCTTTTGGGCACGCTTACTGGAAATGTACATATCTTTAAATACAGCTAAAAGAGCCGTGGCCAAGGAGAGCCCATTGCAGGGAGCAGAGACTAGCTGGGAGTTGGGTGGAGGAGGCACAGGCAGCCTGAAGCTGGGGTGCAGAGTAGGAGACTACCCTGTGGAACAGATCTGGGACTGAGCTTTAAAGGCTCCAAGAGCAGCCCTTTCCAGGGATGGAGAAGTGACTGCAAAACCTGTTCTGTTTGGAGCCACTGAAAGGTGGTAATTTGGAGGACAGGACTTGATCTTCTTTCTAGTCTTCTGTGGGTTGCTCTCATATGGGCTAGAGCCTTCCCTGCTCAAGAACCAACTGCTGGGGCGAAACCTCCCCATGGACATGGGGACATTCTGGTATTCTCCCACCACTGCAGGAAGTACAAGCTCCAGTGCTGGGTCCCATCACATGGCTCTCTGCCTTAAAGCATAGGTGCAGTTTTTAGTCCTATCCCAGTAGTGAGTCATGGCTGAAAAATGGGAACAGAAGTCTAATTGTTATTACTGGCAAATAGCAAGGAGCCTGGACTGGGCCACTGGGAGCAGAGCAGGGAGATCTGAAGTGTTCAAGAACGGTGCTTTGAGCAACCTGATCTAGTGGGAGGTGCCCTTGCCCGTGGCAAGGGGTTGGAACTACATGAGCCTTAAGGTCCCTTCCAAGCCAAACGGTTCTATGTTCCGTTCTACGGGCAGTCTAGGCCAGTTTACTTCTACCTTCTTTCCTCCTCGGTTAATCGGAGGGGCAGTCAGGACTGAGCTGGGACACCCTTCATTCTGCCTCTGCGGGGTCTCCGAGCAGCGCGCCGCTGAGCGTGGTGGTTCTCCCGGCTGGGCGCCCGGCTACAGAGCCCTCATGGCTCCTGCAGGTAGCACCTGCGGGCACGGCCCGCCCGCCTCCCCGAGGGGAGCTGAGGTGGCGGCACCCCGCGGCAGCCAGCCGTGCAGGCCGCTCCGGCAGGGGGCAGCCGCGGGCCGCGCTGCCCGCCGGGGCCGGGCCGGGCCGGGCCGGGAGCAAGTGGAGGTGCGCGGTGAGGCCCGGGCTGCCTCGCAGTGCCTGGCTGCAGGCTCCGTTACTGCCCGTGCCCAGTCTTTAGCCGCTTCTAGAACATAAGGGGTTTTAATCGTCCTCGTTTGTCTTTATTTCTGTCTGTCCCACGGCATTGTCCTGAGCCTGGTACTGGGCGAGTACAGTGGGCATTTCCCACTGGCACACTGGGTCTGGGCAGCCACAGTGGCTGTGGTGAGGTGGAAGGTGAGGATACATGGGACAAGGCCGGCTAGGACATGGACACAGCAGCACAAAAAGGAGCTTTTAGGTGGAGGTGAGAAGCAGGGGAGGCCTGAGTGCAATAATGTTGTGTGGCTGTCACAGTTGTTTGGTGTTTGATGCTTGATGCCAGTGGGGAAAGCTCGCTCCTGCAGAAAGTAGGTACAAACCCATTTGAATAACCTCTTCCAGGATGCCACTGCCAGCAATGTCTTGTTCAAGTGAAAGGTGGTTTTGAGAGGGATTTCACCCTGCACCCCATTCAGTTAGACTTAAGTTTTGTTTTCTTTTGTCATAAAGTACAAACATAAGGATATAATACTTTCCATGTGAAATAAAAGTGTAGATGTGGTGTTGGGAGGGACTAGATCCAAAAACTCTGTGAGCAAATTGGGGAAATGGTGTGGAAGAAACAGAGGCAGTTGAATGAGGGTAAGTGGAAGGTCGTCCACTTGAGCAGCAATATGAACTCCCCAAGTACAGAGGAGGGAGTGATGGGTTAAGTAGCAATTCTTCAGAAAAAGGATCAAAAGCTGAACACGAGTCATCTATGTCATGGTGTTGAGGTGATGGAAAATAAGTTGGGGGGAGGTGTGGGGTAATTGGATCCAGCCTGAAGAGAGAGCAAGCCAAAAATCGAGAAACCATTACCTACCCGGGAAGCCTGAAAGAACTGAAATTCTGTAACCCGAAGGAGGAAAGAACTGAAGTCTTTAAGCACATAAAAGGACATAATCGTTGCTCCTTGTCTGGGATGGGGAAGAGAGGGGAAAAAAGTAAAAAGAAGGCTTAAGTCACAGCAGGAAAGACTCAATTTAGATGTTAGGAAAAACCTTCTAATGACAGGGATAATAAAGAATGGACTGCCTGGGGAGTGGAGAGCTTTAAGATCAAGTTAAGCAACATCTGTCAGGGATGTCCGAGGTTTAGGTGATCCTGCCTTGGGTTAGCAGGATGGACTGGTCTGACCTTTCAAAGTCCCTTTCAGCCTTAATTTTTCAGTGGTTCTGCGGGCCAACATTAATCCTCTTAATGGTATTTAAACAGTCAGCAGCTTCTCATAAGTAACTGCTAGCAAGTCTCTTCTCTTGCCTGCGGTTTAAAATTAACTTAATTTCCATGCATCACTTTCACCCTCCAGCTCCCAAGTCCTGCATAGCCAACCAGCAGCTGAATTCGACTGCTTGTCAGTATCTTCCTTGCAGCTCTGTAGCCATCCACAAAGAAAAAGAAAGGATAAAAATGCTGCATATGGGTGGCTATGTCACCCGTGTGAGGGTGGCCTCCTTTTCTGCATTTATGTGTAGAAGATACGGTCCTCCTTCTGTGATATCTGGATCTCATGTGTGGTTATTTCTTTTTGTGCGCTCTAGGGACCTGCCTTTCTATGTTGATTGCAGCTTTCTGAGGGAGGTGCTTGTGCCCTGCCTCTGGCCTGTTTCAGAAAAGTGTCAGGTCATGCCATGGGTCTTCGCTGTTGGTTTGTCACAGGTCAAGGCTTGAGTGTCCAAGACCAAATATTGCATAATGTGTGCAGCACAACAACATTAATTAATACCTTAATACAATGTAATTAATACATTTTCCATGAGTGGAGAAGCTGGCCCTTAGTCTGGGGGTGTATTCTTCCACTCATTGAAACTACTAATGAAAGTGAATTAAGTTTTTCATTTGCCAACAACAGAATACAAGGGAGACAAAAAGCCAGAAAGTGATGTGCAGTATCTGCAATCCTTGTCTAGTGTCCGTGGAAAACAGGAGAGCCAGTGTGGCAGTGTCTGCAAACTTCTTAGTTATTTGCTTAAACCAGGAAAGATAGCATTTCCATAGCTGGGAAGAACTGTCCCTAATGAAAGACAAAACCACTGTATAGGAGTCCTCACCTTCGGCAAATAACTCACTGCCAGGAGCTGGGCTGCACCTGTAAATTGCGACTGTGGTGATGCCTCTCATTGTGATCGTGAAAACTAAGTGGGTATGGCACCAAGAGGATCATTGACCCCATATCACAGCTAGGACATCAGGATAGAGGAGATACCCATAAACAAAAAACAGGTTATCTAAAGGCAGGAAAACATGAGGCTTCCAAACCTTCATTGCATTCTCCCTAGCTATTTACCCAAAACAGAAAAGATGATAGCTGGGGAAAATCCTCCCTAATTCAAGGGGGAACCACAAGTATCTTACCTGCCCACAGAGAAGCAGTCACAATTTCTGCCACTAATGTTCTTCAGTGGTTTTAATCAGCTAAGATAATTGTGGGCAAGATACACAGGTCTTCACATTTGCTTTTGTTAATTGAGCAAGCTCTATCCTACCTCTGTGTGATGGGTAAGTATTAAGAACATTATTTTATATGTGGGAGTAACATATAAAGAAACACAGGGTCTTTCACTCTCAGCTGTGAGCTCCTTCTTCCATGCCATGCTGGCAGCTCTGAGGTGGTGGTGGGGGGGGGGTTGTTATTTTTACACGTAATAAAACACCACCTGAAGGCAGCTGGAGCCCTACCTTTGAGCGGCATTGACACGCTTGTGACTTCATGTACAGCTATTTCACTTTGCCTCTCTTGATGCAGGGAATGAGAGTTTCAGGTGTGCTCCCATTTTAAAAAACCACTGTGAAATATGCACATTAAAGTGGGTTGTGTTTCTGTGGAGCCTATATCCCAAGCTATACAGTAGCTGCTTTGTGCACAAAGTCACAGTTCCACTCCAGTGAAAATGTGTTTGTCAGAACCACGACAGTATGAATCTGACTCATTAAATAAGGCCAAAAATTTTTTAAGGGTATGTTAGGAATAATACAAATACAGCAAGCTTGTCAAGCCCTTACAAGGTAAGGGTGAAGCAAGCTTACTCTTTAATTGTTGAAAACTGGGAGAGGTCTTTTCCTATAAAAATTGTAAGTTTTCTTGAGACATTCTGAACACTTGCCGTATCCCACAGGATTCGGGGGAAGGATGCGATTAGCCACCCAAATATAAGTTTATTTGAATGAAGCGATTTATCTAAAGTGCAGTGGAATATTTCAAGATAAGAGGAAATTGGGTTGTTTTATTTTGCACAGTCACCACAACCTGGGGAGCTCAGGTCCAGTGACATTTGAGCATCCTGTGTTTGGGCATTGCAAACTCAGAAGTTTCCCATCTGAAGAGTGTTGCCAGCTGCAACAAGTTTGATCTGTGCTTAGTGCCGGAGCTGGAGCCAGTCTGCATGCTAACACAGTATGGCTGCAGGCCTTTTTGGTGTTTTTACTCTGTGGAGTTTTTATGAGACCATATCTGTCAAACGTATGTGTGAAGATAAATCAAACAAGCACAGCCACGGCTATTAAATAAATGTGAAATCTGAGTGGCTTCTACCAGCCCTCAGTCCCTCCCCCTCAGCTGCTGTGCATACTGAGTGTTTTACAGACACAGCGTGGTGAGGAATGGCTGGTTATGAGAAATGGGAAGCAGCAGGGAGGCAGCTCCTAGGGAAGGGGGTGATTTCTTTGCAGGGGGAAGCAGAGAGCTATAACATAAGTTTGGGACTCATGCTGCTGAAATATTTGGATCTGAAAAGAGCCTGGTTTGGGTCTTGGTGACTTTTGAAGGAGAAACAACAAATACCATCAGGGATGTGGTCGGACTGCTGTCATGGCATCCGAAGTGCACTGAAGATAGGGACTCAGCAGAGGAGGCAAGAAAGTGCTGCATGCAGAAGTGTAATGAGGTAATCAGTCTCAGACCATGTTTGGGACTAATGCTGTGTGAGCACCACGAGGTTTCTG